AATCTATTTTTTTAAGTTATAATCATTTTTTTTTATTAACATTATTATTTTATTATAAAAATTTAAGTTGTAAAATTTAAAAAATAAAATTCACTTAAAAAATCCTTTATACTTTATATAAAACTCTAATTAAAAAAAATTAAATAAATAATATGAAGTCACTCAATGAATATTCAACAAACATGTATACAAAAAAAACTTCCTTGCCATAACAAAATAAAATATTTATTTTTATTTGTTACATTATTTACAATGTAACAATTTGTATATGAACGCTTCCTTTGTTTCCAGACAATCCACCTTGTTTAAAAATGCTTATTTTGTATATGGTGAAGGTTTGAAACTTAAAAATTCACAAAAATTTTTCTAATTATTATGCCAGAATTTTTTTTTCGCTTTGAGAATTTTAATTGCAGATGATACTTTTATTTATTTGTATAGTAAATCATGCCTGCTAATTATATAAATGTCCAACATGAGCTACATTACCATAAATATGTTTAAATATTTAAGCATTTCTGAAAAAAACAATGAAATTTTCATGAATTTTCTGCTCAGGATTGTTTATATTTAATTTTATATATAAATATTTGCTTTAATATAAATAATAATTTTTCTTTATATATTTTCATTGTGTTCAAAGAAAATTGCATGTATTATATACATTAATTTTCTAAAATATTTAAATATTTTGTGCAAAAAAAAAAAAAAAATAATAATATTGTTATTAAAAATTAATTATAAAAAAAATTTTATTATGTTTTTATTTAGAAATTATTTCATTAGAAATTTGATAATGTCCTTTTCCTTATACTTCGTTAATATAATTTTTGAAAAATACAATTTGTCAGAAAAGCTTTTAAAACTTTAACATAGAATTAGAAATTAAAACCATAACTTTTTTTTAGATTTAGATATTAAAAAAAAATAACGCTTTATAAAAGATCAATTAATTTTATTATGGTTTAGAAATAATAAATGAAATATTCCTATCAGCAGATGTTTTTAAATTTCCATCAGAAATTCGTATTTCTCAATGTATTCACGCATACATCTGCTTATATAAGATGACAGTACAAAGCTGTATTCATTTCATTCGTAGATGTAAAGATTTAACATTTTTGAATCTTACATTTTTTAAAATTATTATCCTAGATTTTATTACATTAGGTTTCTTAGATTTACAACCAATATAACTATAAAATTTTCTATCTTAGGCACAGTTAGTGAAATCAATATGATCAGTTTATAATTTTATTTTAATTTAAAAAATGTTCACTAATTATCAAAGAAATTTATCTAATTTAATTTAAGTGGTATCACAACAAAATGCAACTTGCTACTTTTTTACATTCTCGAAACATTTTTATTCTGAATTTTTTTTTTTACCAATGCATAACAAAACAAATCTGAAAATTGTTAAACAAATACAAAAGTTTTGAACTAATGTTACTCAAGATCAAAATAAATCTCAGACTATGCTTCCTAAATGAAGAAAAAATTGTTTCTTTCTCAAAAACTGTACATCTTCCACAGGCACCATTTTACACCTAACTGCATCATTTGATACCTGGTAATCACGGCTCGTCTCAATTTTAAAGTTTTGTTTTTATTATTTACGGTAACTTGAGACTTTTTGTTAAAGTCGACAAACGATCGATGACTTCGCATGATGCCCAAAGGTATAATATAAGTCTTTGGTTTCTAGGTTGTTACAAAAATGGTTTTTTTTTCAAGATTTCATAAAACTCCTTCCAGAAATGTTTTATTATTGATTATTCTGAAGGACATAAAATATTTTTGCAACTGTTGTTGTTATTGTTTAACAAAGTCTTTGTGCAGCGCTGTGTCATGAAAAATTTGAAACATGCAAGATGCATTTTTAATTCATAATTATTTTTATGCAGCACATATATATTTATATATACAGATATAAAGAGAGATTTTTCAATTTTAGTATATTTACAGAAAAAGAAATTTCCATCTTACATTTTACATTTTCTACAAACAAATTAAATAAAAAATAATTTTCATTATTGTGGTAACTATTTTAACTTTTATTTAATAGTTGCTATTAAATATTAAGGAATTAAAAAATTAATAACTTTTAAACATTCAATAATTTAATTTCAATATTTTCAAAATGTAAATTTTTAATTATATAAATATAAAATTAAATGTTTTATAATAAAATAACTTAATTATCTGTATTACAATAATAATATCTTATAATAACAATTAATATCTATTTAAAGTATGAGATCACAGTACAAAGCAATATTTTAAACATTTTGTTAATAATGTAAACATTTAACATTTTTAAATCTTTCCATTGTATTTTTAAAATCTTTATAGATTGTAGACTTTTTTACACGTTGATTGAAATTCATAAAATTATAATTTAATTTGAATGTTTTCAAAATTAGTAAATATTCACTTACAGAAATATAAAATATAAGTTTCGAAATAGTTCGTAGGAGTATTAAATAAGAGAATTATACAAATTTCTACATATTTGTTATAGTTAGTGAAATCAACATTATCAGTTTTTAATTTTATTTAATTTCAAAGGGTTAACTAATTATGAAAGAAATCTAACTAATTCAATTTAGGGGGAATCAAACAAAATACAGCATGCACCTTTTTTACATTCTCAAAACATTTTCATTCTTGAATTTATTTTTGTTTCCAATGCATAACAAAACAAATCTGAAAAATCTTAAACAAAACAAAAGTTTTGAACTTGCATTACTCAAGATCAAAATAAATCTCAGACTATGCTTCCTAAATGAAGAAAAAATTGTTTCTTTCTCAAAACTCTACATCTTCTACAGGCACCATTTTACACCTAACTGCTTCATTTGATACCTGGTAATCACAGCTCGTCTCAATTTTAAAGTTTTGTTTTTATTATTTTCGGCAACTTGAGACTTTTTACTAAAGTCGACAAACGATCGATGACTTCACATGATGCCCAAAGGTATAATATAAGTCTTTGCTTTCCTAGGTTGTTACAAAAATGCTTTTTTTTTTTTTTTTTTAAAAAGATTTCATAAAACTCCTTCCAGAAATGCTTTATTATTGATTATTCTGAAGGACATAAAATATTTTTGCAACTGTTGTTGTTATTGTTCAACAAAATCTTTGTTGCAGTGCTGTTTCATGAAAAATTTTGAAACTTACAAGATGCATTTTTATTTCATACTTATTTATGCATAATATATATAAAGATAGAGAGATTTTTAAATTTTAGTACATTTACAGAAAAAAATGTTTTCCCTCGTGAATTTTCTCTTTCATTTTACATTTTCTACAAGCAAATTAAATAAAAAAGTATTTTCATTATTGTGGCAACTGTTTTATCTTTTATTTAATGCATGCTATTAAAAATTAAGGAATTAAAAATTTATATTTTTTAAACAACTTTATTTTTCTACAAGCAAATTGAATAAAACAATATTTTAACTCTTGAATGATAGTAAATATGAAAGAGTTAAAATATTTTCTATTTCATAAAAAAAATATAACTGTATATTATTTTGAGATAACTAGTAATCCTCTTGAAATTTTTATCAAATCATGCAAAATTTAAACATGTAAAACATACTTTTATTTTAATTTTTAAGGTTTTATCGTAAGTTTTGGGAAAAATTCATATATTGTAACAAAAGTTGATTTTTTGTTTTTAAGAAAAATGTACAAATAAAATAAAAGGTGTAACTTCAGTTATATTTTTGTTTTTCTTTATTTTTGACATTTATAAAATATTTGTATGAAAAATCTTATTATTTTTTTAATTTTTATTTTATTATTTTTTAACTATACATCTAATGAATTTTAAGGTGGATGAATGTTTCATGCTGCATGTTTTATTTTATATGTTTTAAATTTATTTTTTAGCTTCTCTTGCATCGGAATATTATCAATTTAAAACTTAAAAATAAAATTTATTAAATGTAATATTTAATATTAACATTTTAAATTATTGAAGATATATTTTTTATGAAAATGCACATAGTCAAAGACGTATTTAGTTCCTTGTCAAGTTTACACTTAAGAAGTTTTATGCAAATTCAATACATGTATGAAAGATTTTCAATCAGTAGATCTTATAATTTCTAGAGATATTCAGCGCATAAATTAATTGGAGCATATAATATTTTTATAAACAACATAAATTGTTTTTCTACGAAGCAGATTTAAAAAAAAACTACTAAATAATAGTAATATAAAAGATTTTAATGTATTTTTTTTTTTTTTTATTTAGTTTATAAAAAAACTATACTATTTAATATTTTATACAAAAATTTACTATTTTATTTACATTTTACAATGTATATAAAGTATAATGTGCCTATGCATGTATAGTATATTAATATATGCAATGCATATAATAATAAATACTTTATAAAAAAAATATTAAAAAAATACAATAATATATATATACCATTACTAATTATTATTTACAATTTTATATAATACATTCATTAAATTATTTTTATTTACATATAATTTTTAGAAATTATTTATATTTCCATTTTATTTTTATATAATACACATTTATATATTTTATATTTATTATTTTATAAAAAAATACTTAATCTTTTTATTTTATATTATTTCTTTAATATTTAAAAAAAATGCTAATTAAGATTACTATTTTATAAAAAAAAATTGCTAATATTTTTGAGAAGAAAAATTATTTTCTTTACTTACTATATCATGTGCAAGTCTCTATACTTCATAATTAAATAAATTTACTCAATAATTTAGAAATATTAATTGATATATTTCTTAATAATTAATATATATTATATTATATTAATTAAATATTAATAATAGCAATTAAATTTTATATTAATTATTATAATAATAATTAATATATATAATTAATTTATATATTTCTTTATACTATAGTAATCACAAATTCAATGTACTTAAAAATCTTTTACAAAAGACTTGTCACTTAATGCTGCAATATCTCATTTAAATTATTCGCCAACGGCCGTACCATGCTGAATATACCGGTTCTCGTTAGATCACCGAAGTTAAGCATCATTGGGCGCGGTCAGTACTTTATAATTTCTAGTGACCACCTGGGAAACTGCGTGCCGTTGGCAAATTTGGGACCTGAATGGCCGAGTGTTTTTCGCTCTGGCGCTCGGTGCCAAAGGTTTCGGTTAATAGAATGGCGGTGCCATGGATGTTTGTAGTGGTTCGAATCTTTTTATTTACTTCCCGGTCTTCTATTAAGATCACGGAGCAAAAGTCAGGCTTTTACCTACATTTTGCTCCATCACAACAGAAGCTGCTTCCTTCCCCTTCAATCATGAGTTCATATGGGCTCGTGGGCTTTATAAAAAAATATTAAGAAACAACAACAACAACACACTTACTGTAGCGCATGTGCATGTGTGTCCCTCTGTATATTGACTGATATTCCTCAGTGGTGGCCAAGCTCCATTCTGGTGCGATTGAGTGTAACATGGTTCCTTCTTTATATTAACCTTTTGATGTTTTGACTATATGTAACATATAATTAAATAAAGAATTGTTACAAAACTTTGCTCCATTATAATTAACCCTATTTTCCTCTTCCCCAATTTTAATTTTGATTACCTGTGCTACATTTCTGCAATATTCTACATTTATCAATCGTTTGTAAGTTTCAATTTTTAGATTGTTTAAATACTATTTTAATAAATTGCACTAATATTTTAAATTGCAAAAATACAAATACTTTATAACCTTTCTTACTACTGTTATGTAGTAGATATATTCGGCGTTGTTCCACGTTATTTTTACTTTAATATTTTGTAGTTGTAATGATAGAAAAAAAATCGTATTTGTTTTAAATAATATATATATATATATATATATATGTATATGTATAATATATGAGGTGCTTCTAATTATAAAACTGATAGAGAATATTAATATTTAAATTAATGGATCTCTGTTATTAAAATACGTAATACATTATGGTAAACGTGTCAATCTACGATCTTTAAACAATTAATATTAATTGAAAAATAGCACATCAGAATGCATAAGAGAATAAAAAATATCAGAATGCAGAATACATAGAGAATATGAATGTTCATATCATGTAAACTGTTTTTGCATTTCCGTACCATGTTTTCATGTCATAAATACTGTAATACTATAAACCAGATAAATGCTGTAATACTATAAAACAGATAAATAATGTAATATTGTACTACTGATAGAAACTGTAATATAGTAAACCAGATAAATACTGTAATATAGTAACCAGATAAATACTGTTTTACTGAAAACCATATAAATACTGTAATATTGTAAACCAGATAAATTTCTAAAAATACTAATTCTTTATGAAATTTTTATTACTTTCACATAGTAGTATTCAATATTTTGAGTTATCCACAATATTTTACCTTTCTTGTTTTATAGTTACATAGAAAAAATACCATATTTGTTTAAAATAATATATATATACATATATTAAGGTGGTTCTAATTATAAAACTGATAGATAATTAAATGATATAACTCATAAATATATAGATAATATATTTATTGAAGGAATCTATTTTAATGAAGTACATTATGGTAAAAGTGTCATTTTAAAATCTTTAAGCAATTTATAATATTTGAGAATATGCAATTTAATATTTTTATATCATTTAAAAAGTTGTGCAATTTTACTATAAACCTTTCTTGATAAATATTTAATTTATATTAAAATATTTTATTAAAATTTTTAACATTCTTATTACAACATATTTCTGAAATTACAAACCAAAATGATTATTTTGAGAAATTATTTTCGTTTATTGGAAAAGAGTTTTCCAAAAACAAACAATCTTCCTACTTTTATAGGAATGCGTCAAGAAATGGCTTTAGAATATCAGAGCAAACAGCATTATGTTTTTTCAAAAAATATATCAAATATATATTACGGGAAAGGTAGGACATTTATTTTGAAAGGGAATACACAAAGAATTCTGGAAAAGGAAAAACGCAAATAGAACAGAAATATTAGTTTTCCGAAGAATAGGCAGGCTGTTTCAAATTTATCTTTGACGTCTGATTCTCAGAATTTGTCTAGCCATAACGATGATGAATGCAATAAGAATTGAAATACAATACGATGCATTGTATTTTATTCTTATTCAAAAGACTTTTAAAAGTAAACATGATTAAACAAAAGGTAATATGAGGATACTACTGTGTCCAAAAAGTAAGACTAATTTTCAATTTAAAATTTTCGGGGCTTATGGAATTTCTATTCTTTAATTTCGATTCAATATATCACTGGCAGCCCAATTCACTTTCTTTCTTTTTCAAATTTAGTACATTCAAGCGTAGTACATTACTTCTTTAAAGTTCATATAACAAAAATACTAATATAATAGAAACAGCCTGTTTGTTTATCTTGTTTGTGTCCCAGGAAGGAAGGAGCTTTCCTTTCCTTCAAATCAAAGAAATATAGCAAGTAGGAAAAACGATAATTTTTTTAATAAAAATACTTTATATTTATTTTCTCATATACAGAAATTGAAATTTACACGTTTTATTTATTTATTTTTTTTTTTTTTTATTAAGATCTTCACATCATTTAGAAAAGTTACCTTTGAAACATATATGCAAATGGGAGAAATATTTAAAATATTTTTTAGAAAAAAATAGGCAGGCTGTTTCAAATTTATCTTCTCTATCTGATTCTAAGAATTTGTCTAGACATAACAATTATGAATGAAATAGGAACTGAAACACAATAAGACACATTGCATTTTATTTTTTTATTCAAAAGACTTTTAAATGTAAACATGATTAAACAAAAGGTAATATGAGGATATACTACTGTGCCCAAACATTAAGACCAACAATTTTTTTTTTCAAAAACTCTTTTCAAAACTTCCACATTTATTTCATTGCCTTCAAAGTAATCCCCTCCGGACAAAATGCTCATATGCCAACTTTTTTTTCCAATCCTCAGTGCATGCTGAAAAGCCATCGGCAGGGATGGCCTTCAAAGGTCGTGGCGATGCACGTTGCATCTCATCTATCGACTCACAACGGTGTCTCCGGAGTGATCTTCTGAGTTTATGGAATTGCCAGAAGTCGCACTGTGTGAATACGGTGGTGATGGAACGATATGGGTTTCATTTTTGGCGAAAAAGTCACGAAGAATCAATGCAGTATGAGCTGGCGCATTCAGTGTTTTCGGTACCAATCGACATTTGACATGTTTGATGCTCAAAATGAAATTGAACGATGCTTTTGAAATCCCAACATCAGCAGCAAGGTCTCTAATTGTAAATCGACGGTTTGCAAGCACCAAATCTTTAATATTTTGGATGTGAGCTTCGTCGGTTGAGGTTGATGACTGATCACAGTCTTCAACATGTTCTCTGCCTTCTTTGAACAGTTTATACCACTTGTAAACATTTCTTTCCGATACAGGAATGCTTATGGAATGCCTTCTGCAACACTTTATACATTTCCACAAACAAAATTGAATGCACGTTATTTGCTCAAATCCTTCAGACATTTCAAAAATCGCCAGAATCAGTTTTAGCGTCTCACAAAGCCAAGCGTAACTCAAACACTAATGAATAATTTGACGTCATATTTCACAGAGATGACAAGGATAGTTCCAACAACATAAAAAAGAAAAATAATTGAAATTCCATAAGCCCCGAGAATTTTAAATTGAAAATTGGTCTTACTTTTCGACACAGTAGTATATAACTTTTATATTATTCTTAATTACTCATTATTTTAATGGATGTTTCAATTTTAGTACATTCATGCATAGTATAATATTTCATTAAATTTCATATAAGAGAAACATAAAACTAATATAAGAGAAACATCGATATTGTTTATTTTACTGAGAATGTTTATTTGCTTGTGCGGCTTGTAAAAAGGAGCTTTCCTTTCCTTTAGATCAAAGAAATACAGAAAATAGGAAAAATATTATTTTTAATAAAATATTTTACATTTATTTTCTTAGATTCAGAAATTGAAATTTGCACATTTTATTTATTTTTTATTAAGATTTTATAGGATTTAGAAAAGTTACCTTTGAAACATACATGCAAAAGGGATAAATATTTACTAACCATTCTATATTTTGTTTCATGAAAGGAGATTTAGCAATTTTATGTTGCACAAAATATTTGCAGATCATATGTGTATTTTTAAAGATTTTCAAGTAGTTGATATTTGCTTATATCCATATTCTTTTTTATGGTAATTCTACTGAACTTGTAGCATTTTATATTCATAATTGTCTTCGTTGTATCTTCAAATTCTTCAAGGATTGGTTGTAATTATTGAACTTTGCTCTATTCCTTTGGTTGTTGAAATTGGTGATTTTTTAATATGGTGATTAATATTTTGTTTCTTAACTTCAGTAGCAATGTGAACGTTTACTTAATTACATGTCAAATAACTATTTCCACATTTATTATTCATGGCATTATGAAAATACATAATATGTGGCTTATGGGTCTATCTTATTCATTTTGTTCCAGTGAAATTAGTATATTTACATGTGTTCGTTTAAAATTCATGAATATATTTCAGTTCTGTTTCAATTCATTCTTTGATTCGTCAAAAAACTATTGCTACATTTATTACTTATGTCATGATGAAAATACATATATGTGACTCATGAGTCTTTCTTATTCATTTTGTTCCATTTAATATAGCATGTTTACATTTAAAAAACAATTCGGAGATAATAATTCTGAAATAAAATTCTCAAAATAAATTAGGAAATAATTTTTTTAAAAATATTATTTAACGTTGAAGTATCATTAAATATACCTAGAAATGAAATACGTGATTCTTAAAATATTTTTTTCATGAAAGTAGACATCAATGAAAACAGCTTCCATTAATGACTGATACAACAAAAAATTCTTAATTAAGGATTGATACATCAAAAAAAAAGCCTTAATTAATAATCATTATATAAAATATCATTATATAAATCATCATTTTATAAAAAATTTGAAGTAGCATTGCATGACCGTTATGACAGATATATTGAAAATATATTTTTTCTTCTAAAGATATAAAATGTATTCCATGTATTACACTCAAGAGCCAAACCGTTATG